CAGATTTTCTCTTTGTCTTCTTGATTTTTCTGGCTTCAACTTTCTGATGGTTTTACATTTGCACTTGTATGGGGCTAGCTCTTCCTTGGGTTAGGGAGATAGATTTGGGGCCAGGTTTGGTTTTAAAAAATCCTTTTGAGGAAAAATATATTTTTCTGCCCTTCTAGTATTTCCTTCTCTGGGCTAACTTCCCTCAATGGAGAAAGCTTTTCCACAGACCGGAGAGTGTGTGGTTTTGTGTGCTGCCAGTTACTAGTATGCTGGGGCCCGGTACCGGTCCATAGACCGGGGATTGGGGTCCCCTGCTGTACGTCAGAATCATAGCATCAATACTCAGGGTTGAAGGTTTTGCGCTAAATGAAGGTATCCTCACACAGGCAGTCCTTGACTTACGGCCACAATGGAGCCCAATATTTATCTTGCTAAGCAAGGCAGATGTTAAGTGCATTTTGCCCCATTTTACGACCTTCCTTGCCATGGCTGTTAAGTGTGAATCGCTGCCGTTGTTGAGTTAGTAACGCGGTGGTTCAGTGACTAAGCTTCCCCATAGAGTTCGCTTGTCAGAAGGTCGCAAAAGGTGATCCAGCCAGTCCACACAGCTTAACGTTGCCGAGGTTGAGAAACACTGGTCTCTAGTGCAGTGGTTCTCAATCTGTGGGTCGGGACCCCATTTGGGGTTGAACGACCATTTCACGGGGGTCGCCAAACAAGGCTGTCCGCCATTTTTCCCCCCTTTTCTTTGGCCACGCCCCTGGCACCCGGTGATGTATAAGTGGTTGGGGGCCACCACAACATGGGGAACTGTATTATGGGGTCGCGGCATTAGAAAGGTTGAGAACCACTGCTCTAGTGTGTTACGTGAACTCGGCCGTCGTGAGATTGAAAAGGACACAGGTGTAAGGAGAATTGGCAGCCTCTACCTGAACTGATCTTGTCAAAATTGAGAATACAGGTAGCCCTTGACTTATAATCAATGGTGGGATTCAGCCGGTTCGCACCGGTTCGGCAAAATCGGTAGCTAAATTTTGCTGAGTTCGGAGAACCGGCTTAATGCACAATGCTTCCGGAAGTCCATTCTAGGCCTCAGAGGCCTGGAGGAGGCCTCTCAGGCCTAGAATGGCCCACCAGAAAGTGCACGGATGCCACTTCCGGAAATCTGTTCCAGGCCTGCATCCAATAAGAGAACCGGTTGTTTAGGTATTTGAATCCCACCCCTGCTTATAATCACAACTGGGACCGGATTTTTCCATTGCTAAGCAAGGTGGTTCTTAAGGGAGTCATGCCTGATTTTACGACCTTTTCTGTCACAGTTGTTCACTGCGGTTGTTAAATGGATCACACGGTCATTAAGCATATCCAGCTTTCCCCCTTGACTTTGCTTGCAAAAAGCCAGCGGGAAGGCTCACAAATCGTGATCCTATGATCCCGGGACGTTGCAAGGGTGGTAAATACGTACCGTTTCCCAAGGGCCCAAATTTTGATCCCGTGACAAGTGGGGATGTTGCAGCAGCTGTTAGTGTCTTTTTTTCTTCAGTGCCCTTATAACCTTGAACGGTCACTAAATGGAATGGTTGTAAATCAAGGGCTACCTGTATTCCAGTTCCCACCCATGGCACATGCAACAATAAGAAGATAAGATCCCCTTATCTTAAGAAGGATGGCGGCTGGATAACGTACAGATCACCAGGAGATCTAGAAACACAGAAACCCTGGGTAGATGTTTCTCGGAAGCCCTCTCCCCTCCCCAAATAAACCAAGCGTGCAGATTGACCCACATGGCAAAAAGGTCCATCTGTCTAACTTGTCATTAGGGATTTAATAAGTTGCTGGGGTCCCTTGCTTATCAAAGATTACCGCATTTGACAATCCACAAGGCCGGCCGGGGGAATTTTAATTAAGAGAAGAAAGGAAGCTGGCCTGCTCTTAACCCCCTGGCATCGCGCAGGGGCTGCCCCCCCCCCCCACCAGCAGGAAATCCTCAGAGCCGCTCTTCCCTCCTAGCCGAGGCCAGCCAGCTTGGAGAAGGTGAGTCCAAGGTTTATCCTCAGGTGGGTCAAGCTGTTCCGCTGGGCGAAGGTTGGATACATCGGACAAGGCAGGAGAGGGTCAGTCCTCACAGGGTCCCCTGGTGGTCCTGTGTGAGGCCTCTGGAGATGCTGAAGGCTTGTGGGATGCTGCAGTAATTCCCTAGCCTGCTGTGCCAGCCCTCCCTTCTTCTGCCTGGCAGAGTTCCTCCTGATCATTCTGGTTCACTTGCAGGCCACCAAATTTCTCTCTCTCTCTCTCTCTCTCTCTCTCTCTCTCTCTCTCCCCTCTCCCTTCTCTTTCTCTCTTTCTCTTCCCATCTCTCTCTCCCTCCCTTTCCCCCTTTCTTTCTCTTCCCATCTTTCTCCATCCCTCTCCCGCCCTTTCTCCCTCCCTCCTTCCCTGTCTCTTTCCCCCTCTCCCTTCTCTTTCTCTTCCTCTTCCCATCTCTCCTCTCTCCCTCTCCTTCTCCCTCTTTCTCTTCCCATCTCTCTCTCCCTCCCTCTTCCCCCTTTCTTTCTCTTCCCATCTTTCTCCATCCGTCTCCCTCCCTTTCTCCCTCCCTCCTTCCCTGTCTCTTTCCCCCTCTCCCTTCTTTCTCTTCCTCTTCCCATCTCTCCTCTCTCTCCCTCTCTCCTTCTCCCTCTTTCTCTTTCTCTTCCCGTCTCTCTCTCCTGACATACAGTCTTTTTTCAAAAGAAAAAAAAAAAAGAATCTCAACCCAACAGGCCTGGTATGGTGGAATTCCAGATCCCCCGTCTTCCTCAACAGAATATTTTTGTGTTCCAATTCTCATTTTTCTTTCCCTCCACCCATCTCTCTTCCCCTCTCCCACTCACCCACCCACCCTCATTTTATTTCGTTTCCATAGAAAAGGAAACACTCAACTCGGCTTCTTCCTCTCCCTTGAACTGGTTTAATGAAGAGAAGGACAAGGGGTGGCGTGAAAGCAGTCTTCCAATATTTGAGGGGTTGCCACAAAAAAAGGGGGGGGTCGACCTATTCTCCAAATCACCAGGAGACAAGACAAGAAGCAACAGATGGAAACTAATCTAGGAGAGAACCAGTCTGGAACTAAGGAAGAATTTCCTGACAGTGAGAACAATTAATCAGTGGAACGACTTGCCACCAGAAGCTGTGGGTGCCCCGTCACTGGAGGTTTTTAAGACAAAATCAGAGAATTGTCTGAAACGGTATAGGATCTTTTGCTTGAACAGGGGGTTGGACTAGAAGACCTCCAAAGTCCCTTCCAACTTTCTGTTGTTCTGTTATTCTGGTAGTAGTCCTCTGCACCGCTTTGATGTTGATGGAACCACAGCGTCCCCTGCTGGAACGAGACCCATCTTCATCTCCTCCTTGCTTGAAGACCAGTAACAAAAATCAGCCCCAGGTTTAATAAGCAGCAGTATATTCATAGAACAGAATCCAAAATACGGAGGGCTGGGAGAGGCTGAAGGCATCAAGTCCAAATGTCTCCCTCCATGAGAAACTCAAAGTTCGAGAAATTCACAGCTGTCTCCTCTCAACTCATCCGGGAAAGGAGAGCCGGAATTCTTGTCCTACTTTCTCACAGCTAAACTTTCCCAGCTCCCGTCCTCTCTATTTTCATAGGGGTACGTTGCCAGTTCCCCGGTCATCTTCTTTTGGAGTGGTTCACACTTGAACCCATCTGGATCCCGCCCAGAACTGGATATGGACCTCAGGGTGAGATCTGACCCCTTAAGAATGAAATGGAGGTGTTCCTTCTAAAGATGTGGAAATAACACTTCCACGGGATCCATCAAAAATGGCGCTCACGTTGCTGGAAACCATCACTCACTCATCGGCCTGTCACATTGGGACCTGCTACAGTTCCTCGGTCGTCTTCATGCATGTCGGATAAACCTCACTCATATCTGAATTCTTCACCTAAATTATGGGAGCAGATGCAGCCTTGGCCACATGAACATGTGCTATATATACTACACAAGAGTTGCATTTCTCAGGATGAAATCCTGAGAACTTAGTCCAAGGGTAGGCAACCTTCGCTCTTTTATGGCTCGTGGACTTCAACTCCCAGAATTCCTGAGCCAGCATGGCTCAGCTTGGAAATCTCTCCCTTTCCCCTCAGCATGGCTGGCTCGGGAATTCTGGGAGTTGAAGTCCACGAGTCATAAAAGAGCCAAGGTTGCCTACGCCTGGTTGCCTACGTGATGTATATTTGGATGCTTGACAACTGACTCACATTGATGACGGTTGCAGTGTCCCGGGATCACGTGATCCCCTTTTGCGACCGTCTGATAAGCAAAGTCCATGGGGAAACCAGTTTCACTTAACGACCGGGTTACTAACTTAACAACTGCAGTGATTCACTTAACAAGAAACTTAGCCAGATGTTCAGACTGGATTTGGCATTTTTGTCTACCTATCGAGTCCTTACCAGGACCTGGGATAGGCAGATGTGGATGTTTGATGGTACTACAGATATCGTCGCAGGATGGAAGCAGTTCCTAGTAAGGCCGCCTTTTGCAATTGACTAATGGCGAATTTGTCAATGCCAATGATGGTGTTCAAGTGGTGCTTCAGTTGTTTTGGGATTGCGCCCAAGGCGCCTGTTACTATTGGTACTACCCTTGCTTGCTTTTGTCACCGTCTTTCTATTTGTGGGTCTTTGTATTTTGTTATCTTCTCCAGTTCTTTCTCGTCTATTCTGCTGTCTCCAGGCACTGCCATTATCAAGTTTTTATTATTAAGTTTTATTATTATTAAGTTTTATTATTATTATTAAGTTTTTAAAAAGAGATTGGACAACCATTTGTCTGAAATGGTATAGAGCAGTGTTTCTCAACCTTGACAATTTTAAGGCATGTGGACTTCAACTCCCAGAATTCCACAGCCAGCAATGCTGGCTGTGGAATTCTGGGAGTTGAAGTCCACATACCTTAAAATTGTCACGGTTGAGAAACACTGGTATAGAGTCTCCCGCTCAGGCAGGGGGTTAGACTAGAAGACCTCCAAGGTCCCTTCCAAGACTATTATTCTGTGTTTGATGTTCTGTTCAGTCCTCAACCCAAAGCAAAGACAGGGTGGAAATACTTTAATAAATAAAACATCCAGCCCTCCCGGTGCAGTTTAACAATCATCAAGGTCAGAACTGTGAAAACAACAGCAGCAGCAGCAGCAACAAAACAATGGGTTGTCCCAAAAGTCATAATAAATTATAAGGAAATAAATATTAAAGGTTCTTCTCTTTTCATAGAAGGGTTTCAGATTCACCCAGGGGCTCGTCTCTTTCTCTTCTGCAAAACGGAACGTGAGATTTGCCATGGATCTTCGCTCAACGGAGGAGTTGCCCCACCTTTTCTGCTCTCCTGTACAGCATCGCAAAGAAAAGAAAAGCTTCGTGTTCTGCTGGGTTCATATCGAAAAAAACAAAAAAAAAAGAGAGAGAAATATCCTGGTGGAAAGAAGAGACCAAAACAAACGCCACACAACTTCCTCCATCTCTAAGGTGGACAGAGCCATTACCAGCTTCTCCTGACGTTCTCGAGCCTGGAATTTGAAAGCCAAAAGGGGTTCCCCTGGCATGGCCGGTTGGCTGGCAACCCCTTCACCTGATGAGCTTCTCCGTGCCTCCAAGGGCGCCTCAACAGGTCCTCATGAGTTGGACTCTTCCCGGGTTGATCGTGGCAATAGGTGTTCACTTGGGATCTCGACCAGGTATCTGTAGGACAGCCCCACCATGATCTGCAGGGAAAAGACAGATAGGTAACCTACTAGGGCAGTGTTTCCCAAATTTGACAATTTTAAGGCCTGTGGACTTCAACTCCCAGAATTCCACAGCCAGCATTGGGACTTGAAGTCCACAGGCCTTAAAATTGTCAAGTTTGGGAAACACTGTACTAGGGGACAGGGGTTCCCAATCCCTGGTCCGTGGACCGGTACTGGTCCGCAGCATGCCAGCAACCGGTCCCCACAAACAAGCAAAGCCCCATTCATGGGATACAGGCAGCACACAAATATGAGTCAGTTGCCAAGCATCTGAATTTGGATCCCATGACCCCGAGGGAGGCTGCAACGGTCGTTAACTGTGAAAAACGGTCATAAGTCGCCTTTTTTAGCGTCCGTGTAACTTCAAACGGTCACTAAGTGAACTGCTGTAACTCGAGGACTACCTGAAGTCATGAAGCTAGGTACTTCCTGCCTCCTGTACGTCTCTCTCGCTCTCTTTTTTACAGTTTTATTGGTTTATAGCATACAATGCAATCGAAATACAAAGCAAATAGCGGGAAAGATGGGGAAGGAAAAAGGGAGTAGAGAAGTGAGGTAAGGGAGAAAAAAAAGGGGGGGAGGGATTGACTTCCAACTTCCTTTGGTGCAATAGAGCAGGGCTTTTCAATCTTTTCACCCATTGTACCAGTTTTAGGATATGGCAACATCCGAGTCGCCTAGCAAGGTGTCAAAAACTTGATGACAAAAAAAAAAAAGGAAAAAAGTGATGAAGTACAGGTAGTCCTCGACTTACAACAGTTCGCTTAGTGACTGTTCGAAGTTACAATGGCACTGAAAAAAGTGCCCCCCAAGCCACAGCCGAGCAAGATGGCTGCCTGCCCACCTGGCCGCGCTCTTCCTCCTGTCCGAGGTTACCATTATTGTGAGCATTTCTGTTGAGGATTGGCAGTGGGGGGGTGTTTGGTTTCTATCCCCCCCCCCCGTCTGCTGGGTGGTTGCAGCAAGTTTTGATCACTTCACATGACCCTAGGACACTGTGACCGTCATAAATATGAATCAGTTGCCAAGTATCTGAATATAAATCACAAGACCCTGGAAATGCTGCAACATTCCAGCTGATCGGCGCTTCTTCTGGGCTCAGCAGAAGCGCCAGGATCAGTGCTGAGCTCCAGCTGATTGATGCTTCTTCAGGCTCAGCAGAAGCACCAGGATCAGCGCCAAGCTCCAACTGGACCCTGTCGCTGATCCCGGCGCTTCCGCTGAGCCCTGACAGCCCTGCAGCTCCAGCCATCTCTCTCTCAGGCTTGTGCGGTGCTGCCACCGGTTCTGCTCATTCCCCTCCCCTGCTACCACTTTTCTAGGATGGTCGTGTACCATCTGCCAGGTGCCAATGTACCACAGGTGATACCCGTACCACTGGTTGAAAAGCCCTGCAATAAACTTCAACCCTCCACTTTTCACTGCCTCCTGCACTTCTCAAATTTTACTTTTCTGTGCTTTTTTTTTCAACCCACAGCTGCTTCTCACAGCTGTGGAAAAACCCAGGAAGATTCCTTCTCAGAACAGAGAAGCTGACAAAACAAAGAAATCTGGGATCTCAGAATTATACTTCGACGCAGGATGTTACGGCTAGAGAATGAGAAAGAATGTGGGCTTTCGAACACTCACCGTCAATAGGCTGAGCAGCCCCATCATCACTCCGAGCATGATGTACAGATTATCCGTCAATCCCCCGGCCCACAGAGGTCCAAGGATGGTGGCAATTCCCCCAACGGAGCGACGGAGCCCGTGGCTGAACCCTGCCAAAGAAGGAAAAAAAAGGAGAAATAAATCCTGTTATACAGGGAAGTCCTCAAAAGTACCATCAAAAGTGAGCCCAAAATTCTTGTTGCTAAGCAAGACGGTTGTTAAGTGAGTTTTGCCCCATTTTACGACCTTTCTTGCCACAGAGGTTAAGTGAATCGCTGCAGCTGTTATGTTACTAACGCCTTTCTTATGTGAATCTGCCCCCCCCCACTGACTTTGCTCATCAGGGTGCAAAAGGTAATTACATGACCCCGGGATGCTGCAAACAGTCATAAATTTGAACCGGTTGTATCCAACTGTAAATCGCATGATTTCTGGGAGGTTGAAGTCCACAAGTCATAAAAGGGCCAAGTTTGAAGGCCCCTGACCTTATCCTTCAGCATCCTTGAGCATAGCCAAGAGAGAGCTTGTTGTCTTCTAACGTGGTGCGGTACGAAGAAAACACATTCAAAGCAGCTTTTCCAACTCTAGAGTAGCCGTGCCACCCCTTTCGAGAGGAAAGGCAGATTGGAGAAGGCTGGAATCAGGAACGGGGTGGGCTTACCTTGTGTTCTCTCTGCTGTGACTTTGGAGAAGAGGGACACCTGGGAGACAGCGACGAAGGGCAGGCCCAAGACCTGCAAAAAGACCCCCACTACCAGCTCCGTGAGGAGGACAGCAAAGGTACCTTGCGCGGGGGAGGGAGACATATGCAAAACACGGTAAGGAGAAAGTTCACAGCAGAGCATACCAAATTGCACCTCGCTCAAAGCCAGCTTCTTCGACTGGACACCTTCCACTGGACACCTTCCACTAGCTCTTTGGTGGGTCAACATGTATGTGCTACTGGTCTTCATCCCCGTCCATGCCAAGATACGGAAAGGGAAAAACCTGCTTAATAAAAACCTTTTCATGCCTATTTGGGCTAAGAGGAGATTACAGGTCGTCCTCAACTTACAGCCACAATTGAGCCCAACGTTTCTGTTGCAAAGCGAGGCAGCTGTGAAGTGACATTTGATGGCCTTCCTTGTCACAGTCGTTCAGTGAATCACTGCAGTTGTTAAATTAGTAACAACTTCCCCCACTGACTTTGCTTGTCGGAAGGTCGCAAAAGGGGATCACGTGACCCAGGGACGCAGCAACCGTCTTAAATATGAGTCAGTGGCCAAGCGTCTGAATTCTTATCACGTGACTGTGGGGATGCTGAATGGCTGTAAGTGTGAAAAACGATCACAAGTCCCTTTTTTCAGTGCCGTTGTAACTTCCAACGGTCACTAAATGAATTGAGAGCTACCTGTGTCGATATGACAATATTCTAGGTTCCTTTTTTATTGAGCCAGCAACATCTGACCGTCATCTAGTTTACACTACCTGCTGAATTTCTCTTTTGCGGGACAAGGATTGTATAAGAGCTGCTCCCATTGACGAGACTATAAAACATGAGCTGGTTAATAATAATAATAATAATAATAATAATAATAATAATAATAATGGTACCACCATCAAACCATCAAACATCCATATCTGCCTGTTCTGGGTAAGGACTCAATAGGTAGACAAAATGCCAAATCCAGTCTGAACATCTGGCTGACTGTGCGATGATCCATAATAATAATAATAAAGTTGGAATGGACCTTGGAGGTCATCTAGTCCAACCCCCTGCTCAGGCAGGAAACCCTACACCATTTCAGACAAATGGCTGTCCAGTCTCGTCTTAAAAACTTCCAGTGTTGGAGCATTCACCGCTTCTGGAGGCAGGTTGTTCCGCTGGTTAATTGTTCTAACTGTCAGGAAGTTTCTCCTTAATTCTAGGTTGCTTCTCTCCTTGGTTAGTTTCCATCCGTTGCTTCTTGTCCTGCCTTCAGGGGCTTTGGAGAATAGCTTGACTCCCTCTTCTTTGGGGCAGCCCCTGAGATATTGGAAGACTGCTATCATGTCCCCCCTCGTCCTTCTCTTCTTTAAACTAAACATACCCAATTCCAGCAGCCGTTCCTTATATGCTTTAGCCTCTAGTCCCCTAATCATCTTTGTTGCTCTTCTCTGTACTCTTTCTAGAGTCTCAACATATTTTTTACATCGCGGTGACCAAAACTGGATGCGGTATTCCAAGTTTGGCCTTACCAAGGCATTGTAAAGTGGTATTAATACTTCACGTGATCTTGATTCTATCCCTCTGTTAATGCAGCCTAGCACTGTGTTGGCCTTTTTGGCAGCTGCAGCACACTGCTGGCTCATATTTAAGTGATTGTCCACTAGGACTCCAAGATCCCTCTCACAGTTACTACTATTGAGCAAAGTACCATCTATACTATACCTGTATATTTGGTTTTTCTTGCCTAAATGTAGAACCTTATTTTTTTCACCATTAAATTTCATTTTGTTAGATAGCGCCCAGTGTTCAAGTCTGTCTAGATCCTCCTATTTCTTAAGCCTGTCTTCGGGAGTGTTGGCTAGTTCTGCCAGCTTGGTGTCGTCTGCAAATTTGATGATTTCCCCATCTATCCCCCTCTTCCAAATCAGCCAGCTGCTATAAAGAGGGAAACGTTCTCTTGGGGTACACAAACAGAAACAAGAGTAATTGAGGAATTATCTATTCTGCCCTGATGAAACCTTTTGTGCAACTCTGGCTCACCACAGTTCAAAGAAAAATTTACAGATTGGAGCAAGTTCAGAGGAGATCTACTAAGAATGTGTAGTGATCTGGAAACCCAGCTCCACGAGGAATAGTTAAAGAATCTGGGAAACAGACAACTCAAGAGAGATGAGGCAGCCGTATTTCAAATATCTAAAAGGTGGCCACAAAGAAGAAAGGGTGGACTTTTTGATTACCCCGGAGGGCAAGACTAGATCCGTAGGTGGAAACTACAAGGAAGAAGGTTCAGGCTAGCCATTGGGAGGAACGTCCTGATGGTATGAACTCTTAACCAGAAATGCTGCTTTGTGATATATAGTTTTCCTCTAGAGCAGTGTTTCTTAACCTTGGCTGTTTTAAGAGGTTCCCCAGACAACTGTGGGAAAGCATGGAGTTTGAAGCCTACACTTCTTAAAGCCCCCAACGCTGAGAAACACTGCTTTAGAGCAGGGGTTCCCAATCTTGGCAACTTTGAGACACGTGGACTTCAACTCCCAGAATTCTTGTATAAGTAGACGAGTTGGGAGTTGAAGTCCATGCATCTTAAAGTTGCAAAGCTTGGGAATCCCTGCTCTAGAGGCCTCAAGCAGACTCCGGATAATCCTCTGTCAGAGTGGATCCTGCATTGAGAAGACTGGACAGTTCCTTATAGCTCTGTGTCTGTGGGGTCCTTGGTGCATTGTGTCTTTGGTTCCTACCGTGTTTCCCCGAAAATAAGACCAGGTCTTTTTTTTTTTTTGCCTCCAAAAGAGGCACTAGGTCTTATTTTCGGGGTAGGCCTTACCTCACCTCCGGCACCGACAGCCCCACCCAGCCGGTCCACTTCTTCTGGGGCCGAAATTTTGCAGCTACATTCAGGCCTGCATATTGCAGTCAGGCCTTTCCAGAAGGCCTAAGCAGCCGAGTACCAAGCTATGGATTCAATCCATAACTCGGTGCTCGGCTGCTGAGATCTTGCACAACTGAGGTACAGATTGAATCCATAGCTCGGTTCTTGGCCACATGGGCCTTCCAAAAAGCCCCCTGACTGAGAAATGCAGGCCTGGCTGCAGAAGAGGCCTCAGAAGAAGTGGGCCGGCAAGGAGAGGCCTGGCTGCAAGGTAAGCGGGTGTGGGGTGGGTGGGGCAGCTCCACCCCCCCTAACTTGATTTGTGTGTGCCTCGCCCTAAACTAGGGCTTATTTTGGGGATAGGGCTTATATTAGGCCCACCCCCCAAAATCAAGCTAGGGCTTATTGTTGGTGTAGGCCTTACTTTCGGGAAAACACGGCAGCAGTCCCAAAGGTGCTTTTTCAAGAGACAACTGGACTTTATTTTTCCTTGAAAACGTTTCGCTTCTCGTCCAAGAAGCTTCTTCAGTTCTGACTGAATGGTGAAGGATGTATATTCCATATAGTCATCTGGTCATTAGCACTCTTTCTGAGAGTCATTGAGGCCAGGTAGAGGTGTACCTGTGCCCTCAGGGTCACCCGAATCAGAGTGCAAATGAAGTGTGGAACCTTTTGTGTTGTAGAGAGAAGATGGCTGGTGTCGTATCCCCCTCCCCAAATGAGAGAGGGTCTCTTTGACCCCTCTTTCAAACCAGCGATCCTCTCTGTCCAGCATGTGGACTTTTGAAAAAAGCACCTTTGGGACAATCACGATCTGGATGACTAAGAATCTCCATAGACCTTTGGTGGCTAGCACTGATGATGTCGCCTAGCTGGGTAATGAAACGTCCGCAAGAAAACAACCAAGTCCAGTCAGCACCAAGAACCCCACGGTTCAACCTTGAGCTACAAATATTCTCTTCCACTAGATCTCTGTGCTTCCAGGGCATCAAGAGGTCAGGAACTGAGAAGATGGAGAGAAGAAACCCTCACGCTTTTCTCCAGCGGTCCGCCATCATTACCTCGGGGGTGTGCCAGGAACAGCAGGCACCAGACACAGGCTACGTTGCAGATGACCAGACCCATGAGCAAGATGATCCGATCTGATAGCCGGATGCTGAGAAAGTGCACCAGGAAGAAGCCAGCAATGACCTGAAAAAGAAGAGGCAGCACACTTGACGGTGTAATCGGGCCCTGTGTGTGCAGTGACCCTCACAGCCTGCTTCCAGGCTGTCAATCCAAGAGATCAGGAATTACTCCCAAATCTTTCTGCATTCAAAGGAAGGGCCTGCCTCTGCATGGCTCCCCTTGTCCACTAACCAAAGAACTTGGTTTCGTGTGCCTGACACAGCTTGTCATGCAAACCCACCCCATTAGGTTGATTTATTTCATTCATCAAATTTTGAAACCGTCCATCTCCCTCCCTCCATTCAGTTTATGCGGAAATGGATTAAGGAGACTCATAAAATTTAGATTAATTCAGTAAACAGCTTAATTGGATTGTACGGATACAGCCCAAATCATGAGATGGACACTGAAATTTAATTGGTGGCCAAGGCCTTCATTCTGACTCACAGAAACATCAATGGGAGGGAGGGAGGGAAGGAGGGAGACCGCCTACTACCTCATAGTTCCCTACGTCCGGTTAGATCCCACAGGCTGGGCCTCCTTCAGGCCCCGTCGGCCAAGCAGTGCCATTTGGCGGGGCCGCGGAGGAGGGCTTTCTCTGTGATGGCGCCCACGCTTTGGAATCAGCTCCCCCCGGAGATTAGGACCGCTCCCACCCTGTTGGTCTTCCGTAAGCTACTTAAGACCTGGCTTTTCCGGCAGGCCTGGGGTTTATAAAACCTTACCCCTGGATGATTGTTTTTGTTATGTTTTATGTGTTTTTTATTGTTAGCCGCCCAGAGTCCTTCGGGAGTGGGGCGGCTTATAAATTTTAAAAATAAAATAAAATAAAATAAGATAGGGAGGGAAGGAGAGAGAGAGAGAGAGAGAGAGAGAGAGAGAGAGAAAGAGAGAGAGAGAGTGAGCGTCTGAGAGAGTTGTACTTTCATACTTGCAAGGCCCTATCAACGTAGCTTTGCAATGAAGTAGAATTAGCTCCGTCCAGTCATGACTCCTACCTGCTTTACCTGGTCAGGCCGACACTCTACCTTATTAAAGTGCAACGGTGAGCAAAATCTCCTGTAACACACAGGCTGCTCAGTTACAGCGTCACCCCTTTTCACCCTTACCTCCACACCACACAGGAAATACATGATGCTGTTCTCCAGTTCTCCAAAGTTCAAATACTTCTGTGTAATTGGAGTCACCATAGTCTGTAGAGGAAAATCAACACACGTTCCAGGTGGTTCATCTACTCTTAGAATGACCTCCAAACACTACGAACAGCAGCTTTCAATACACTAAACGCCGGGGTTTCGATTCTGAACCGTTCAACTTCTGAGTCTATCAAATGAGAATGAAGGAACTTGGTCTGGGGTACCTCAGAGTACAGAAAGGTGGGCTATATCAGGGCTGCCCTTGCTGGCTGGGGAATTCTGGGAGCTGAAGTCCACAAGTCTTTAAAGACTGGACATCCTTAATGTATATTGGTTGATACATACGATGCGCACAAAAACAGATAGCAATAACACTTAGATTTATATACTGATTCACGGTGCTTTACAGACCTCTCTAAGCGGTTTACAGAATTGGCATATTCCCCCCCCTCCCCCCAAAAAATATGGGTCCTCATTTTATCAACTTTGGAAGGATGGAAGGCTGAGTCAATCTTGAGCCGGAGAGACTCGAACTGCTGAACTGCTGGCAGCGGCAGTCAGCAAAAGTAGTCTGCAGTACTGCATTTGAACCACGGCGCCACAACGGCTGTCAAAAAATGAGGAGGCTTTGACCACACAGTCGCAACCACCATTGTGATTTTTTTTTAAAAGAAGTCCCACCCCTTATCCATGAGTTTGTATCTTTTGAAAAGTTGATCAATGAAAGTTGGGAGTCACTTTGAAGCACGAAGGGAGAAAATCCCAGCTAAGCTGAAATGGAACTGGATAGTTTGGGGTGGTTTAGGGTGTTGTGAAAAGTAGCTAATGTCTTAAGGTTGGGTTGAACTGAGCCATCACATCAAGTTTGACTGGGCTGGGTGATTCTGGCCTAATCGCCCCAATCTTAAGCCATCTCACAGGGTTGCAGTTGTGCGGAAACAAAAGAGAAGCAATAAATTGTAAAGATTATCCAGGAGGTTCTAGATCAGGAGTGTCCAACCTTGGCAAATTTCATATTTGTGGACTTCAACTCCCAGAATTCCTCAGCCAGCATGCCTGGCTGAGGAATTCTGGGAGTTGAACTCCACAAGTCTTAAAATCCCCAAGATTGGACCCCCTTGTTCTGGATCATCCAGTCCAATGTTTTTCAAACTTGGCAACTTCAGAACAGGTGTGGACTTCAACTCCCAGAATTCCTCATCCAAATAGTTGCCATGTTTGAAACGCACCAATCTAGTTCCAGCCCTCTGCTCAGTGAAGGAATGCTTAAATACTTGTTCTGCGAAGACAAAAATCACACTTTAATCAACCTAGCTGTAGGGCCTAGTGCAGAGGTAGGCAACCGTGGCTCTTTTATGACTCGTGGACTTCAACTCCCAGAATTCCTGAGCCAACATGGCTCAGCTTGGAAACCTCTCCCTTTCCCCTCAGCATGGCTGGCTCAGGAATTCTGGGAGTTGAAGTCCATGACTCCTAAAAGAGCCAAGGTTGCCTATCCCTGGCCTAGGCCTGTGTTTTTCAACGTTGGCCACTCGGAGATGGGTAGACTTCAACTCCCAGAATTCCTGAGCCAGCATGGGGGAACTATGGCCCCTTCATGACTTTGGATTTCAACTCCCAGAATTCCTGAGCCAACATGGCTCAGCTTGGAAACCTCTCCCTTTCCCCTCAGCGTGGCTGGCTCAGGAATTCTGGGAGTTGAAGTCCACGAGTCATAAAAGTGCCAAGGTTGCCTCTACCCCCTGGCCTAGTTGTGTTGGGTGAAGTCAGACAACCTATCCCACACAGCTCCCCCTAACTTGCCCTCCTTCATCCTTGAAGACAATCCCCCTTTTTTTTTGCCACATTCTCTTGCCTGGACCCTCCAGATCTAAGCAAGAGGAGCTGGCACTAACCATCCACATTCTTGCTTCCAGAATGTGACAATGGAAGCCGAAGAAAGGACACGCAGAAAAGCTCCACTTTCTGCTTTTAGATCTACGAAATGAGCCCGGGGTCAGTGCAAAAGCAGACCTACCTCCAACGCCGTTTGGTTGAAGAGGGTAATGAACTGGGCAGTGAGGAGAACCACCACTTCCTCCCGCAAGTATTCTGAAATGAAAACACAACCCCCATCAAAATCTGTTAGAGGATGCAAGAGGCCCTTTTTACACGGTGGGGGGGGGGAGAGAGAAGAAATGAAGGGTTAATCATAAAACTGTCCCTCCGGGTGTTTTTTTGGAGAGCTCTACTTGGGAAAGTTCAAGGTTCTCTTTCTGGCTGGATACACACACACACAACCCTCTGAATCAGGCTATCAAAAAGACCCTGGGTGAATTTTGTTAGGGAGTAATAATAATGATGATGATGATAATGATGATGATGATGAAGTTGGAAAGGACCTTGGAAGCCATCTAGTCCAACCCCCTGCTCAGGCAGGAAACCCTAAACCATTTCAGACAAATGGTTGTCCAATCTCTTCTTAAAAACTTCCAGTGTTGGAGCGTTCACCGCTTCTGGAGGCAGGTTGTTCCACTGGTTAATTGTTCTCACTGTCAGGAAGTTTCTCCTTAGTTCTAGGTTGCTTCTCTCCTTGATTAGTTTCCATCCGTTGCTTCTTGTCCTGCCTTCGGGCGCTTTGGAGAATAGCTTGACTCCCTCTTCTTTGTGGCAGCCCCTGAGATATTGGAACACTGCTATCATGTCCCCCCTCGTCCTTCTCTTCATTAAACTAGACATACCCAGCTCCAGCAGCCGTTCCTTATATGTTTCAGCCTCCAGTCCCCTAATCATCTTTGTTGCTCTTCCCTGCACTCTTTCTAGAGTCTCAACATATTTTTTACATTGTGGTGACCAAAACTGGATGCAGTATTCCAAGTGTGGCCTTACCAAGGCATTGTAAAGTGGTATTAATACTTCACGTGATCTTGATTCTATCCCTCTGTTAATGCAGCCTAGCACTATGTTGGCCTTTTTGGCAGCTGCAGCACACCGCTGGCTCATAAATATTTAAGTGATTGTCCACTAGTACTCCGAGGTCCCTCTCACAGTTACTACTATTGAGCAAGGTACCCCCTATATTATACCTGTACATTTGGTTTTTCTTGCCTAAATGTAGATCCTTACTTTTTTCACCAATTAATTTCATTTTGTTAGATAGCGCCCAGTGTTCAAGTCTGTCCATATCCTCCTGTATCCTGTCTTCTGGAGTGTTGGCTATTCCTGCCAGCTTGGTATCGTCTGCAAATTTGATGAGTTCCCCATCTATCCCCTCGTCCAGATCGTTGATGAAGATGTTGAAAAGCACTGGGCCCAGAACAGAGCCCTGGGGCACCGCACTACACACTTCCCTCCATGTAGATGCGGTTCCATTGAGGACCACACGCTGAGTACGGCCGGTCAGCCAGCTACGGATCCATCTTGTGGTGATGCTGTCTAACCCGCATTTTTCTATCTTATGAAGTAGTAGGTTGTGATCTACTTTGTCAAATGCCTTACTGAAGTCCAAGTAAATTATATCCACAGCATTCCTCTGGTCCACTAATTTTGTCACTTGGTCAAAGAATGCAATAAGATTTGTCTGGCATGATCTGTTTTTGACAAACCCGTGTTGGCTTTTAGTAATGACTTTGTTTGCCTGTAGGTGTTCGCTGATTCGTTGTTTGATTATCTTTTCCAGAATCTTCCCAGGTATTGAGGTCAGGCTGATAAGTCTGTAATTTCCTGGGTCCTTTTTTTTCCCTTTTTTGAAGATGGGAACTACATCAGCTCTTTTCCAGTCCTCCGGTAGTTCCCCTGTGCTCCAGGATCTAAAGTTTAGTGCAATGTGTGAGCTCCGCTTATCTGGTTAGCTTATGGTTCAATCTATTACATGGATGCCAAATAAGTTAATTCGGTAACTGAAGTCATTATAGGAGGAAAGCCGTGTTGGTCTACGGCAGCCAAAACGTTCTTCCACATTTGCACTGACTTTCAGTAATTAAATTGCTTTACGTACTAAGCTACTGTTATTTTTACGTACTAAGCTACTGTAATTTTTAATTAGCTGTCTTGTTTGTGTTGTTGTATTTTACTGAAACTAACTTATCTGGTTCAATATATTAACGGAAAAATAGAAAACTACAGAATTCGGGGTAGTGGCAATGTGGAAGACCACTGTGATTGCGAGGATAATAAGAAAATTATGAAATTATGAAAATTATTCGTAATAAGGAAAGTCTAGACCAGTGGTTCTCAACCTGTGGGTCGCGACCCCATTTGGGGTCGAACGACCATTTCACGGGGGTCGCCAAACAACACAGTCCGCCATTTTTTTCCCCCTTTTCCTTAGCTGTGCTACTCCCTTTTATTCTATTGGCTTTTGAAAGGCAATAGAATAGACTCTCTTGAATAGAGTCTAATTCTATTGGCTTTCAAAAGCCAATAGGAATTGTCCAGGCTGTGTCTGCCCTGCTGAGCCCGCCAAAAGTCCCATTTTGCAAACGGTGCTGTACCAGTTGAGTAGTCCTCAACTTACGACCGGTTGAGTAGTCCTCAACTTACGACCGGTTGGGGGTTGCGGCATTAAAAAGGTTGAGAACCACGGTCTAGACGTTTAGAGCTCATTCTGAGCCAGCCTGCTTGTTTTTCACTCTTGCTTTCCGAGCAAAGAAGAACTGACTAACTGACACCCCCTGGAGATTTGAAAGTATTCTTTTCATGCGATGCTAAGCATTAGAATTATTCTGTATTTAAGACAAGAGACAAAGCAAATTTGGGGTTTCCTTAATTCTTGGACGTGTGCCTTTGTAGAGGATAATAGGAGTCGAGTGATTGTGCCACACAGAGGTATTTACAAGGAGACAGTATGGCTAGAGATAACACAAATGACACAGGAAGTGCACAGGACCAAAATGGATGCCCTTTCTGGTGGGCTAGTGGTTGATTTAAGGAGTAATATGGGTGCCTTATCCCTTACCATCAAAATTAAGACTATTTAGCCCAATTGTAAGGGAAATTTTCAGAAAACTTTCTAGAAGAGGTGGATTTCACCTCTGCAAGGTTGATGCATTCATTTTACCTTTTAAACATCTCAAAAGAAAAACGGATCAAAAGCCCCCTTATTCCTACTCTGTAGGTCACAAAAAAAAGGGTGCAGAGAAGAGCTACAAAGATGATTTATAGAACTGGAAGCTAAACCATATGAGGAATGATTGAGGGAATTAGATATGTCTATTGTAACAAAGAGAAAGACCAGGGGTGACAAGATAGCAGTCTTCCAGCAGGCTATCACAAAGAAGAGGGAGGCCAACCTCTTCTCCAAAGACTCCCAAGGCAGGACAAGAAGCAATGGATGGAAACCTACCAAGGAGAGACACATGCTAGAACTAAGTAGAAATTTCCTGAAAATGAGAAAGAATTAATCAGTGGAACGGCTTGCCTTCAGAAGTTGTGGGTGCTCCATCACTGGAGGTTTCTAAGAGATTGGACAACCATTTGTTTAGATATAGTCTCTCCTGCCTGAGCAAGGGGTTGGACTAGAAGACCTCCAAGATCCCTTCCAACCATTATTCCATGTTCTAGGTTCTAAAAAGGGACCACATGCTGGCCACAGCCTGGGCAACTATGACCTCACCTGTTCCTGCCATAAGCGAAGGTCACCTCACCTTTCACAGAGCTAAATTGATGGAAGGGATTCGTGTCTTCTTCAACTGATTCTTCATCTGCCAAGTGTCCATTGGGCACATACCGACATTCGTCGCCAAGGGAAGGTTGCGGAAGTCCCACAGGGGTGCTGCCATAGCAGGTCCCTCCCGTGGCCTCTTCTCGGCCAACCTCATGTCGTATCAGTGGTTTCTGCTCCTCTTCCAAAGCCTCTTGCTGCACCGTTGATATGGTCCTTGCGGTGTGAGCCGGTGGCTGGATGTCATAGTACATCACCATCACAATCACTTGAAGCAGAATCCACACCAGACACATGAAGAGCTGCCGACAGAAGTCAAGAGCAGAGAACAAAAGAACGGAAAGCCCTTTTGCGTAACACAAAATTGGATGAGGGATCCTTGGGTGCTCTTCAAGCTTGGCTGCTTTCTTGCAGACATTTCATTACCCAGCTAGGTAACATCATCAGTGCTAGGAAGGAGAAGGGGTTTTGTGCTTTTATATTCTATTACAGGGGTAGGCAACCTTGGCTCTTTTATGACTCATGGACTTCAACTCCCAGAATTCCTGAGCCAGCATGCCTCTCCCTTTCCCCTCAGCATGGCTGGCTCAGGAATTCTGGGAGTTGAAGTCCACCAGTCATAAAAGAGCCAAGGTTGCCTACCCCTGTTCTAGTAGCATTGATGATGTTACCCAGTTGGGTATTGAAATGTCTGCAAGAAAACCAACAAGAAAGCATCAAGGATCCCTCATGTCAACCCTGAGCTACAAATATTCTCCTTTAATGGTACAGAACGGAGTGCAAGATTAACCAGAGGTCTTTGTATTCCATTGCATCAAAGTACAGAAAGTATTTACAATGCTGAAATTTTAAGACGGCACTGAAGTGTTATTCAGCAGCAGCATTTAAGAGCAAAACCCTTAAAAAAGATATTCAAGAACTATTTTATTAATCTAAAGCTAGATTGGGATCTTCAGGAACCCAAAGGTTCTTGTTTCTGAGTACCTTTGCATAGAGCTATGGTAGGAATCTAAAATCTTGCTCTTAAAAAAAAGACTCCTAAAGCACATTCCTTTTGAACAGGTTTGGAAATATGCATCTGAATTCATGTTTAACATTATTTTAACTGTTCTTCTGATGAAGTGAGAGAAGAAAAGTACTTGAAAGAATATGAACTTCTCAGGAGTGGAAGCTAGTCTTATTGCCTCAGACACCGATGAGAATCTGGTCAGGGATTTAGAGAATGGATCTCTTTCATTATACAATCCTCTAACCCAGACATGTCAAACACAAGGCCCGGGGGCCGGATGCGGCCCGCAAAGTGGTTTCATGTGGCCCACAAAGCCATCCTGAAAACAGTGAGGGAACGGCCCCCGTTGCCTTGGCCCTGGCCCAGGCCAGCCGGGAGCCAATGTACAATTTTGTGGTGGCCATCTATGCTGAAACATATTCAGTCTTAGCTCCATAAGGCCGTCTAGAAACAGCGAGGAACCGGCCCCTGCCCTGTTGGCCCCGCCCCCTGGGTGCATGCTGGGGTGGGGTCACCCTTTGTGAGGAATGAAGAAATGGACCATGCCTTGGAGCTTGTCCCCGTCCCACCCCCTTCTGCCAGACACCCCCAGATCTGTCCCACTCCTATCCAGGCCCCCACAGGCACCCTTGACGCGAACGATGTAGAGCTGGCCACGCCCACCCAGTAGGCCACATCCATCCTGGCCACACCCACCCGGCCCCCTGAGGGCAACCGCAATGCTGATGCGGCCCTCAATGAAATTGAGTTTGACACCCCTGCTCTAACCGGGGTATAGGTAGTCCTCAACTTACAACAGTTCGTTTAATGACCGTTCAAAATTATAACGGCACTGAAAAATGTGACTTACGGCCTTTTTTCACAGTTACGACCTTTGCAGCATTCCCTCACAATGATGTGATCAAAACTCAGACGCTTGGCAACGGGTTCCTTATCTAGGCCCTTTGCCATGTCCCGGGATCACGCGATCCCCTTTTGGGGATCTTCTGACAAGCAAAGTCAACGGGGAAGTCAGACTCACTTACCAACTTATCGATTGCAGTAATGCACTTAACTGTGGCAAGAAAGTCATAAAATGGGGCAAAACTCACTTAACAACAGAAAATTTAGGTCTCGGTTGTGATCGTAAGCCGAGGACAACCTGGGGTCTGTTAGCACCCTGACTTCCCACTCTTCCCATTTATTGGTGCTAAGGTCCTTCTTAAGAAAGTGTCTTGTCCTAGCAAAATTGGATGAGAATTTCTCTGAGAAATATGGAAAAGCTGCCCACCCATTTTTTATTTTTATTTTATTTTTTGCCCCAAGTATTGATGGAGGATTTAATAAACGTTGGTTAGGTTGGGTACCTAATCTTGTTAATATTTTAATATTTACCATTTTAATTGCAAGCCACACAAAGTCACCTCACAGAGTGAGACAGGCAGCATATACATTTAACCAATAAACAGTGCTTCCAAAAAGAACAAATTCTTGTGACTTACCCCTGGGGATGTAAACTTATTGACTACAAAGGGCCCCAGATGGAAATTGCAGAGGCGCAGGAAGAGATTACAGGCTGGCCCTGGAAACAAATATGACAGAACAGGTGTATAAAGAAGGCATACAAGTTGCCTGCCAGGACATTAGCATCTTCTGCAGTCACCTTCCTTCAACGCCCCCCCCCCCAAGCCACCCAGAGTTGCTGCATAAAAATTTAATAAATAAACAAATAAATAAACTCAGAGCAACTAAAACGATCAAAGGCCTGGAGACTAAAAAATACGAAGAACGGCTGCAAGAATTGAGTATGGCTAGTCTAGAGAAAAGAAGATATAGGGGTGACATGATAGCAGTATTCCAGTATTTGAGGGGCTGCCACAGAGAAGAGGGGGTCATGTTATTCTCCAAAGCACCAGAGGGCAGGACAAGAAAAATGGTTGGAAACTGACCAAAGAGAGAAGCAACCTGGAATTAAGGAGAAACTTCCTGACAGTGAGGACAATTAACCAGTGGAACAGCTAGCCCCCAGAAATTGTGGGCGCTCCATCACTGTAGGTTTTTAAGAAGAGACTAGACAGTCACTTGTCTGAGATGGTATAGGTTCTCCTGCTTGAGCAGGGGGCTGGACTAGAAGACCTCCAAGATCCCTTCCAGCTCTATTCTATTCTATTCTATTCTATTCTATTCTATTCTATTCTATTCTATTCTAGTCTAGTCTAGTCTAGTCTAGTCTAGTCTAGTCTAGTCAAACTCTCCTTTTCCTCATAAGATGGGAGCTACAAGAAAAAGACTCTTCTTGGCGGTGGCACCCCAGTGACAGGTATGAAAGTTAACTGATCCTAGAATTGTAACTTTAGGAAAAGGCATTTAGGACCATCAACTCCAACAAAATTGTAATTATTTGGAGATGCACTAAAAGCCATGTTCCCATTTGAACTGGGCAGCGTCTATTTGCTGCGGTGTGCTCATGAGGTTATCCTCATGGTCCCCAGTTCAGGAGGCAAGAGGCCTTATTTCTACCAGCATTAAAACATTTTCCTCCCTGTTCCAACACTACATGTGGTCCTCGAATTAACAATCATTCATTTAGCAACCGTTCGAAGTTACAACAGCACTGAAAAAAGCGACGTATGACCATTTCTTACTTACGACCATTTGCAGCATCCCCACGGTCACGTGATCAAAATTCTTGATGCTTGGCAACCGACTCACATTAATGACGGTCGCAGGGTCTCCCCGGCGTCACGCGATTCCCCTTTTGCGACCTTCTGACAAGCAAAGTCAGTGGGGAAGCCAGATTCACTTAACAACCGTGTCGCTAACTTAACAACTGCAGTGGTTCCCTTAACAACTGTGGCAAGAAAAGTCGTAAAATGGGGCAAAACCCGGAACAGCCATCTTGCTTAGCAACAGAAATGTTGGGCTCACTTGCGGTCGTAAGTTGAGGACTAACTGTACCTAAGAGCAGCCCACGGATGCGTCGTATCTGCTAAGCCTTGTCAATCGTTACCATGAAGGAAATTCAGGAAAGTGATCGGGATAAAGGCCGGCCAGGGGGACAAAGAATTTCATCCCTGCGTAATTTTTGGTGATGAGTGAACACAACTCAGCTGTGACCAAAAAAAACCCCTAAGCCACAAAAAAAAAAATTATCTAGGAAGATCAGGAAACTTATGGTACTCCCAATGATGTTAATATTATTAGTGCCGATGGGGGCAACTGCTAAGGATGTATTCAACTTCGGGGCAGCTACAGGTTCTTCAACTTATTCTAGAACTTCCAAATAACAAGTATCAGAGCATGCACAGCCTTATTGCGCTGAGATAACCCAGGAGTAAATACAGTAAACAGTGGTCTATATTAAATGGTGGTTTATCTTATACTATCTACAATATCATACACCAGGAACAATATACATACACATGTTAATACAGCAGTTCCCCAACACACAGCAGCTACAGCAGGAAACAGAAGAGAGAGAACACATCTGCAGAGCCTTCCCTTTTATACAAGGCTCTTAAAGAGACACAGACCCTGCTGAGTCATTCCCATCATTACATCATACATCTTACATCAGCTGGTTAGCTTCTAAATCATTACTTTGACATTAAGATGAAAGAACAGTTGCCATTTCTGCTGCTGTTTTCAAAACTTTTTTTAAAAACACATGTTTTTATTGAAAGAGCAGCTTCTCAGCACGTATGTTTGTTTAAAAACTGATTTGAAGTTACAGCGTTAGAAGTTTATCTTCTAAAACGGGCCCTTTTCAGGCCAATTTTAATTTCATCCACAAACTGCCTTGACTGAATAACTCAGTGCTGGTAAAGGGCCTACATAACTAATCTTCTACATTTTTATTTTTATTTTCTCCTTCCCGAAATCCTTCTAGATGATGTAAAGGCGGCCAGGGACAAACTACAGGTCAGTCCTCGACTTACAACAACAGTTGAGCCCAAAATTTCCGTCGGTCCCTCTTCAGTGAAACATTTGTTAAGTGAATTTTGCCGCATTTTACGACCTTGCTTTATCACGGTTTTTAAGTGAATCACTGCAATTGTTAAGTTAGCAAAAAGGTTGTTAAGTGAATCTGGTTTCGCTGGTCAGAAGGTCGCAAAAAGGGATCACACAACCCTGGGTCACTGCAACCGTCATAAGTATGAATCAGCTGCCAAGCTTCCGAAGTTTGATCACATGACTATGGAGATGTTGCAACGGTTGGTAAGTGTGAAAAATGGTCATAAGTTGCTTTTTTCACCGCCGTTGTAACTTTGAATAGTCACTAATTGAACTATTGTAAGTCGAGGACTACCCGTACCGCAATGCAAACTTCCAGTGCCAGCACAAATGTCAAGTTTTTGTGGGGAGGGTTCTGTCAAAAAGTGGAGTCCTTACCAATAAGAAGCCCAACCTGGCGGCAGGCCATGACGGCCGCAAAGACCTTGGACCTCTCCTGCAAAGTGGTGGAACGGGTGAGGTAGCCAAAGATGGAAGCACCTGCTCCAGTTCCCACACCTGTAGTGGAGATCCAGAAAAGAGTGTTGGAAAACGAAGGAATGGCAAATGAAGCACATCTTCTCTCACCCACCCAAAGGTGTTTTTTCACGAGGCAACTGGACTTTCTTGTTTTTGCTTTGAAGACGTTTCGCTTCTCATCGAAGAAGCTTCTTCAGCTCTGACCAGAAGGTGAGAGAAATGGGAGGATTTATACTCCTTGCAGACAGCTGGTCATTTGCCGTCTTTTAGAGCAGGGGGTCTTCAAACTCGGCCCTTTTATGACTTGTGGACTTCAACTCCCAGAATTCCTCAGCCAGCGTGCCTGGCCGAGGAATTCTGAGAGTTGAAGTCCACAAGTCATAAAAGGGCCAAGTTTGAAGACCCCTGAATTAGACTCAGAAAAGTGGTCCTCTCCAGTCCTTACCTGCTACTAGTCGGCTGCCGAGGAGCATCCATTTGGAGCCACCAACAAAATACATGAAGTTTCCTGAAAACAAAGACAACGTTAAGAAAGACTAGAAGCAAGATGGCTTGGTAGAGATCAGACAGCCATACATCACAGGACCAGAACCCAGCTGGAGTGAAGCTGCCCATGATGTCACCAAAGTTGATGGCACCCAATGCTAAATCATTCGTGGTCAGCATGATGCTAGGTGGGGTTTTGTGCACAGCAGAACAGCTCCCTCACTAGGATCAAGGGAACAAGTGGATTAGTTCATATTAGTAAAGTTGGAAGGGACCTTGGAGGTCATCTAGTCCAACCCCCTGCTCGGGCAGGAAACCCTACACCATTTCGGACAAGTGGCTGTCCAGTATCTTCTTAAAAACTTCCAGTGTTGGAGCATTTACTGCTTCTGGAGGCAGGCTGTTCCACTGATTAATTGTTCTCACTGTCAGGAAGTTTCTCCTTAGTTCTAGGTTGCTTCTCTCCTTGATTAGTTTCCACCCGTTGCTTCTTGTCCTGCCTTCAGGTGCTTTGGAAAATAGCTTAATTCCCTCTTCTTTATGGCAGCCCCTGAGATATTGGAATACTGCTATCATGTCCCCCCTTGTCCTTCTCTTCGTTAAACTAGACATACCCAATTCTAGCAACCGTTCCTTATATGTTTTAGCCTCCAGTCCCCTAATCATCTTTGTTGCTCTTCTCTGTACTCTTTCTAGAGTCTCAACATCTTTTTTACATCGTGGTGACCAAAACTGGATGCAGTATTCCAAGTGTGGCCTTACCAAGGCATTGAAGAGTGGTATTAATACTTCACGTGATCTTGATTCTATCCCTCTGTTAATGCAGCCTAGCACTGTGTTGGCCTTTTTGGCAGCTGCAGCACACTGCTGGCTCATATTTAGGTGATTGTCTACTAGGACTCCGAGGTCCCTCTCACAGTTACTACTATTGAGCATGGTGCCACTTATGCTGTACTTGTGCATTTGGTTTTTCTTGCCTAAATGATTATGGGTAGATGTGTCTCCTAAACCTGGAAGGAGTGACTGACTCACTGTTGGAATAAATTTTCTGAGGGTAAGATGGAACAATGGATCAGTGGAACAGTCTATCTCTGGAGACTATGGGTTCTCCATTTCTGGGGGCTTCCAAAAAGAGATGGACAGTCACCTCTCAAGGTTGGTTTTGCTGGTGTTCCTGCAGAAGGATGGGTTAGATCAGGGGTGTCAAACTCAATTTCATTGAAGGCCGCATCAGCATTGCGGTTGCCCTTGGGGGGCCGGGTGGGTGTGGCCAGGGTGGGTGCAGCCTACTGGGTAGGGGTGGATGGAGTGGGTGTGGCCTACAGTGTGGGCGTGGCCAGCTCTACATCGTTCGCGTCAAGGGTGCCTGTGGGGGCCTGGGCAGGAGTGGGACAGATCTGAGGGTCTCTGGCAGAAGAGGGTGGGACCCGGGCAAGCACCAAGGCATGGTCCATTTCTTCATTCCTCACGAAGGGTGACACCTCCACAGCATGCATCCAGGGGGCAGGGCTAACACAGCAGGGGCTGGTTCCTCGCTGTTTCTGGACGGCCTTGTGGAGCTAAGACTGAATATGTTTCAGCATAGATGGCCACCACAAAATTGTACATTGGCTCCCGGCTGGCCTGGGCTAGGGCCAAGACAGCGGGGGGCAGTTCCCTCACTGTTTCCAGGATGGCTTCGCAGGCCACATGAAACCACTTTGCAGGCCGCATCCGGCCCCCGGGCCTTGTTTGACATGTCTGGGTTAGATGATCCTTGCAACTCTACAGTTCTATGATCCTGGGATTAAATGCCTGGCCAATTAGGAAAGAATTTCTATATGCATGGGGAATTGTTGCCATGGATTACCTTCTCAGACAGAATGCATTCAACAACTCTATGTTATTTTTATGGTGTGCCACACAGTCAGCCACATGTTCAGACTGGATTCAGCATTTTTGCCCACCAATCAAAGGCCTGGGATAGGCAGATGGGGATGTTTGATGATATTAAAGGTACTGTCACAGGAGGAAAGCTGTTCCAAGTAAAGCTGCCTTTTGCAATTTACCGATTTTGTCAATAGTGTTCAAAGTGGTGCTCCAGATGTTTTTCGGATTGCACCCCGGGCACCTACTTACTATTATACTACCTTTGCTTTCTTTTGTCACAGAAATTCCATTTCCACTGTTGCGAAAGAAAACAAAGGTAGTACCAATCGTATAGAGCAGGGGTCTTCAACCTTGGCAACTTTAAAACTTGTGGACTTCAACTCCTCAGCCAGAAACCACTATTGGTTTCTGGAATTCCAAACTCTGTTAATGATATTTCTTAAGGTCAGAATCTGGTCCTCACAAGAGCATCCTTTCCTGAATCCTGCTTGTTCTTCATGCAGGTATGCATCCAGATGATGCTGCAGTCTCCTCAACAACACAAGGCATAAAACTTTTCCAGGGCCTAATAACAACATCTTGCTGTTCCAGTTGTTTACAATTGCTGAGGTTCCCTTTCTTTGGTACTTTTAATGATTAGCCCTTGCTTCCAATCTTCTGGTATGTATTCCTGGAGCCAACAGTTGCTTAATAAAATAGTGGGTTCTTGCTGTCTCCACCAGCTCTTCGGAGATCTGATCTAAGCCAGCTACTTTTTTTTTTATCGACCGTGTTGTATCCTCAATTTCAGTAACTATAATTGGTTCCATATTGTGTAATGTTGGTAAAATCATATGTTGTTAATGGGCTAGGGCAGGGGGTAGGCAACCTTGGCTCTTTTATGACTGGTGGACTTCAACTCCCAGAATTCCTGAGCCAGCCTGGCTCAGTATGGAAACCTCTCCAGTTCTCCTCAGCATGGCTGGCTCAGGAATTCTGGGAGTTGAAGTCCACGAGTCATAAAAGAGCCAAGGTTGCCTACCCCTGCCCTAGAAGGTATATTGAATAATCCAGCCAGCCAGCACAGTATGGGCCCCTTCTATTCCTAGAGGGATAGGCAAATTTATCATAAAATTTTAAGGAAACAATAAAACTCTATGCACAATTTGAAATCCAGATCCTCATATGGCTGAGCACCAGTTAGGGCAGGGGTAGGCAACCTTGGCTCTTTTAAGACTCGTGGACTTCAACTCCCAGAATTCCTGAGCCAGCCATGCTGAGGGGAAAGGGACAGGTTTCCAAGCTGAGCCATGCTGGCTCAGGAATTCTGGGAGTTGAAGTCCACGAGTCATGAAGGGGCCATAGTTCCCCCATGCTGGCTCAGGAATTCTGGGAGTTGAGGGATCCTTGGGTGTTCTTTGAGCTTGGCTGCTTTCTTGCAGACATTTCATTACCCAGCTAGGTAACATCATCAGTGCTAGGAAGGAGAAGGGGTTTTGTGCTTTTATATTCTATTACAGGGGTAGGCAACCTTGGCTCTTTTATGACTCATGGACTTCAACTCCCAGAATTCCTGAGCCAGCATGCCTCTCCCTTTCCCCTCAGCATGGCTGGCTCAGGAATTCTGGGAGTTGAAGTCCACCAGTCATAAAAGAGCCAAGGTTGCCTACCCCTGGGCTAGGCTGTTTCAACATGTCGCTAAAACATTCAGTCCAACGTTTGTCTTGCTCTTCTTTACTAAGCAACGTGTTCCTATGTTGATCTTTAATTGGTACACTGGCATTAGTTCAAGTTCTTGTTGGTTCCCAGGCAAGGAGAAGATAGCATCTTAACATCGTTCTTTGCTGGTGCATCCTGTATTCTCAGCTGCTTTTCCTTCCAACCATCTTGTTTGTCGTCGTGGCAGGTACGTTTAACTCCGCCTTCCAAGGTTTCATATAATCTCATTGCTTCTGTCTTCTCTTGATCTAACTGGCATTTTGCTTTGTTTCCGTTCACCAATTAGCTGCCGTGTTCTGTCTTAGATCCACCATTCTTTTTGGATCCCTCTTCTTCAGCCGATCGTACTCTCCTCTGTTTCAACTATGATTTCTTTAAAGAATCAACAACAATAACAACAACAATAATAATAATAATACTTCCAGTGTTGGAGCATTCACCATTTCTTATGACCACATTTCACACTTATGACCATTGGAGCTTCCCCATGGTCATGTGATTTACATTCGGATGCTTGACAACTGGCTCACCTCTATGACGGTTGCCGTGTTCTGGAGTTATGTAATCCCCTTCTGATAAGCAAAATCAATGAGGAAGCCAGATTCACTTAACAACCGTGTTACTAATTACACAACTGCAGCGATTCGCTTAACAAAATGGGGACTTAACCAATGTCTCACTTAGCAACATAAATCTTTTGCTCAATTGTGGTCATAAGTTGAGGACTACCTGTGGTTAAAAATAAATTAAAAAGAAAACAAAAAAAATAATTAAAAAGAAAAAAAAACAAATAAACTTAGAGAGAAGACTCAATGGACCACTAGGTCTTTTTCTACTGTCAGTTTTCTATATTTTTATATTTCCACAGTGTGGACATTTATTAGGCTCCATCGTACTGGAGGGAAAAAAAAAATGTGGAGCTGCAGGGGCTACAAAAGAGAGAAAACGGCGATTTGGCAAAGCAGAATCCACGCCAACCTTTCTGTCAATGCAAGGATGGGTGAAGAGCAGTTCAGCTCACCTGGGGGCAGAAGATGGCAAAGTAACTTGTGAGGGGCAACGTGTGCCAACCTCCCCCCAGCAGGGCCCACTTACCTGCTATCTGAAACAAGTTGGCAAACATGATGCTCCCTTTGGTTCGATGGGTCCGATCGGACCAATATCCAAAGAAGGGGCCCGTGATTAAGCCAGCGAAGCTAAATGCGGAGAGAGCCAGGCCCAAGTAGTACGGTTCGGCATTCAGCTTTTGCAGGTAGGCCCAAATGGTGGGCAGGATCACCGCTGACCATGGAGGGAGAAAAGAGAGACAAAAAAGAAACAGGTCAAAAGAAGCATGCATCAGAAGACGCCCTTCCTATATAGCCAAAGATACAGGTGGTCCTCAGCTTACGGCCACAGTTCAGCCAAAATTTCCACTGACGGTCGTTAAGCAAGTTATGACCCATTTTATGACCTTTCTTGACACAGCTGTTAAGTGAATCATTGCAGTTATTAAGTTAGCAACACCGTTGGTAAGTGAACCCGGCTTCCCCATTGGCTTTGCTTGTCAGACGGTCGCAAAAGGCGATCATGTGACCCCAGGACCTTGCAACCGTCTTAAGTACATGCCAGTTGCCCAGCGTCAGAATTTTGATCACGGGACCGTGGGGATGCTGGAAAGGTTGTTAAGCGTGGAAAACAGTCATAGGTCACTAAATGAATGTTTGTAACTGGAGGATTGCCTGTATCATTTTGAATGAGGGCTAACAGCAGATTCCCACCAAGCATCTCTTTCTACTCCAGTGTTTCTCAACCTTGACAATTTTAAGGCATGTGGACTTCAACTCCCAGAATTCCACAGCCAGCACTGCTGGCTGTGGAATTCTGGGAGTTGAAGTCCACATGCCTTAAAATTGTCAAGGTTGAGAAACACTGTTCTACTCTTATGCCCCAACTATTTCCTTTCTCATTTTGAAATCCCTAAGGTGCTTTTTTTTTTTTCTTTCTTTTTTCCCCTGGCTGGATGGCAAGTTCAGCTTTGCTCAACTGTTTCAGACTGCCAAACCTTTGATCCGAGCTATGCAGCTGCTGTGGTTAGCCACGTTTCTCAATTAGCTTAGAACCAAGCCAGGGCTTGGGTGACTCCTTTGAAGCTCCGTAGGTGGCTTTATACAAAAGTCTAAAGCCCAAACTCCAAAACAACAAACCCACATTACAGCTTTATGCCAAAGTGTAAAGCGGGGGTCTTATCTTGCTTGTTTTCCCTTTAAAAAAAACAACAACCCTCATTTCTATTGCCAATAATGTGGTCCTACGGAAACCACAACTAAGGGGAGGGGAAAGCTGGAAACAAAACTGAGGATTTATACATCGCGGGAGAGGTATTTTTATTTGATATGTGCTTATATTTCTTTTTGGTATTTAAGTGCAGAACAAGATGTGATTCTCCCCACAAAGACCACCCTGTGGGTGAGGTTGGACTGAGAAACAATTAGTCCTCACAAACATTTGTTTAGTAACCATTCAGAGTTACAGCAGCACTGAAAAAAGTGCATAAGTTTTTCACACTTACGGCCATTGCAGCTTACGCACCGGAGACCAATTCCTGGTGTGTCCAATCACATTTGGCTACTACATAATTCTATTCTAAAGCCATTTTCTGGACTGTCACAATACATGAAACCCTGAGCTACCTAAACAGACCACAGTTAGAGTCATCCAACTCACCACGGTCAACTAGGCACAGCCAACTATGGTCAACTTGCCCCGGTCATTGAGGTGCCGTCAACTTGCCATGGCCAACTCACCGTAGGACATCTCACAGGAAGACAATTCAACAATTCAATTGAAGTAGTTAAAATAATTTAAAAAATTATTTTAATTTTTGTCATTCACATTTTTATTTTTCCCCTCCTTTTGCGTTCTTTCTTTAATGATTCTATTCCAGCATTTCTTCAACATTTGTGTAACTCTTGTCCTCTGGGGAGCTGGCCATGGCAAGATGTCCTGGAACGAGGTAGCTGCAGCAAGTTGGCCATGGTGAGTTGGCTACATCGAGTGGTCCTAGGCCAGGGGCGGGCAACCTTGGCTCTTTTATGATTCGTGGACTTCAACTCCCAGAATTCCTGAGCCAGCCATGCTGAGGGAAAAGGGAGAGGTTTCCAAGCTGAGCCATGCTAGCTCAGGAATTCTGGGAGTTGAAGTCCAAGAGTCATGAAAGGCCATAGTTCCCCCATGTTGGCTCAGGAATTCTGGGAGTTGAAGTCTACCCATCTCCGAGTGGCCAAGGTTGAAAAATACAGGCCTAGGCCAGGGGCGGGCAACCTTGGCTCCTTTATGACTTGTGGACTTCAACTCCCAGAATTCCTGAGCCAGCCATGCTGAGGGAAAAGGGAGAGGTTTCCAAGCTGAGCCATGCTGGCTCAGGAATTCTGGGAGTTGAAGCCCACGAGTCATAAAAGAACCAAGGTTGCCTTTCAAAAGAAAAAAAAACTTTCAAAACGCCATTTTACTTTCACTCTCACTTTTCCACCCGGAAAAAAAAGAGAAAGCTCAAAAAATAAGAAAAAATCAACACATGCTAAATAAACTAAATAAACTAAAAAAAAATAAAATAAAACTAAACTATAAATAAAATCCTTTAAACAGTTCTGTCAGGTTTAAGATTACTCACGGTTACTTTAAATACGGAGATGGTAGCGGCGTTTCGCTTTGTTTCCGAAGAAACAAAGACAGCTGAGAGGCGGAGAAGGCAATGAACTCCGAGGGAACACTCTTTCTACCCCCCTAAAATAAAAATCCAGGGAGGGTTAAGAGGTTCTACCTCTATTCATGCGATCTCTACCCCTTCCCTTCGCCCGGGAAGGGGATTGCGAGCCGCGGGCCAGCTGATGAACGCTGTGCTCCGCGGATCTGACACCATCTCAGGAGGACGGCTACAAAGTAGCCGCCATCTCCACCGCTTTAACCACCGGAAGTGGTTAAACTGTTGTTTAATACTGCTTTCCTTTTTAAGTTTTTCTTTATCTTTTGGGAGCTCTTAAATTGATTCCATTTTATCCTATTTTACCTTATTTTTAACTTTTGGACTATTTATTTTTTATTGGTATTTTTACGAAGAAAGAAAGATAAATTGAAATGGCTTCAAAACGACAACCAGCTACTACAGCTCCTAAGGTAACTTCTTCTCCTGCTACCTCTACTGTGCAACAACAACTTAAAATAATACCCTCAGTGCAGCAACCTAAAACTACTCCACCCTCCCCTCCCCCATCTGGCACATCAGCACAAGACATTAAAGAAATAATGGTAAGTGCTGTGTCACAGTTTAGGGAGGAAATGAAGCAACTTTTGGAACAGAATAAATTTGAAAGCAAGGAAGAAATGAAGAAAGAGATGAAGGAGCTTTTAGAACAGAATAATACTATATTGAGGGATGATATACTTCTAGCTTTATCTGGAGTGGCTTCAGTGGTTGTGAAGCTGGACTCTAGAGTGGAGGAAATTGAAGAAACAGTAGAACTTTTGGACTATAAATTCCAAGATATGGAGAAAAAAGTGGAAACTTCACAAGATGATATTCTTATGTTCCAGTATAGACAGATGGAATATGCTTTGAGAATAAGGGGCCTGAAAGAAGATAAAACTCAAGATCTGATGGAAATGGTGATTAATGACTTGGCTGTTATTTTGAATATAGACAAAGATGAGTTACGTGGGGAAGTGGAAAGAATTTATAGAGTTAATTCTTGGATTGCAAAACAGAGGAATCTGCCTAGAGATGTGGTGATATATTTTGCTAAGAAGTCCTTGCGAAATCAGATTCTGCAAATTTTTTACAATAAAAGATTCCAGATTGCTGCTCAAGATATTATTATTTTAAAGGAAATTCCACCTAAAATTTTAAGAAGCAGAAAAGATTTTTCTTTTCTAGCAAATGAACTTAAAGCAAGACAAATGCCATTTAGATGGGAGATTCCGATGGGCATTGTTTTGAGCCATGCGGGGACACGTTATAGACTTAACACAGTTGCTAAAGCTAAGGAATTTTATAAAACGGTCCTGGGTGCAGGCTCACCTTTGCCCATGATGCACAAAGTTCTGAGTGATAAAGAGATGGAACAGAAATCTGAAGATACAGGTGCGATGACTGCTGGACAGGTGGTATGGATGTCTCAAGTAGAGGTTAAAGAACAGAGAATGACCCGTGCAGCACACAAACGTAAAGAAAAAGAACAACAGAAAAAAGAAAAAGAAATCAAAGAATCTACTCAGCAAATTGTTTCAGTGCCGGTGGGAGGAGCAAGACCCAAAAGCTCTGCAACATATTCTTCAGTAGCAGAATTTGAGGGGATCTTCTCCAGGCTTAAGGCCAAGGGAGATGGCAAAGCTCCTGACCTGGAATGTTAATGGATTAAATATTCCTCAAAAGAGAAAAAAAATCTACCATTATTTGAAACAACACAACAATGATGTTATCTGTTTGCAAGAAACTCATATTACATCTAAAGACCAAAAATACTTAAACAATCCTCGTTTGGGATCTCATTTTGTATCTCCCGCCCCTGGGAAAAAAGGGGGTGTGGTAATTTATGTTAAACAGAACTTATCTGCTACCCTGTTAGAATCAGATCCTCATGGAAGATATGTTATGCTTGAACTTGGTTTATATGGCAAGAAAATTCTTATTGTGGGGTTGTATGCACCAAACCAGCAACAGGAGCAATTCTATAGGTTGCTACATCAGAAAATAACTTTGTTGGATTATAGATCTGTGATTTTAATGGGAGACTGGAATGGTGTCTTAGACATACAAAAGGACAAAAAAGGCTCTTCTACCTTTTTTAAACAGGCTAAACTACCTAAAGCCTTTTTTGACATGAAAGAAGATTGGGAATTGAGGGACTATTGGCGTGAACGCAACCTAGAAGAAAGGGATTTTACCTTCTTCTCAGATAGACACCAATCTTTTTCAAGAATTGATTTCTTTTTGATCACAACAGACTTATACAACAGGGTGAAGAATGTAAAAATTTTTCCTAGGACATTGTCTGACCATAGTCCAGTATGGATGGAACTGTTTGCTGAGAAAGAAGACAGGAGATCCTGGAGGGTGAATGAGAATTTATTCAAACAAGAAAAAAATGTTCATAAATTAAAGGAATGTTTAAAGGAATATTTTGCTTTAAATATGAATAAGGGAACATCAATGTCAATGGTGTGGGATGCAAGTAAAGCTTTTATGCGTGGTATTTTGATAAAAATGAATAATCTGCATAGACAGAAACAGACTCAGAAACGTAAAGATTTAGAAGAGGAGATTAAATTAAAAGAGAAACTTTTAATTTCAAATCCTTTAGATGAAAAGGTGAAAGGAGCTTTAAAACTGTTAAAAACACAATTTAACATGTTGATGGCTGATCAAGCTGCAACCAATTTATTATTTATGAAACAAAATACATTTTGTAATGCTAATAAACCAGGGAGATGGTTGGCTTATCAGTTAAGAAAGAAACAGAAACAGAGGAATATAGATAAAATAAATTATAATGGTAAATTGGTTTATCAGAAAGAATTGATTAAGAAATCCTTTTTAGAATACTATCAAAAATTATACAAGAGTGCCAATATTCAAACTACAGATATAAACAATTATTTAGGTAAAGTTAACTTTCCTAAATTAACAGAAGATCAGGAAAAAGAGATTAATGGCTTAATTACTAAAGAAGAAATTGTTACAGCTATTAAACAATTGAAATTGGGCAAAGCGCCGGGTACGGATGGGTTGACATCTATCTATTACAAAACTTTAGTAGAAGAGATGACTCAACCATTGTGTGAATTGTTTAATAACTTATTACAGGGTTTAGAGATCCCTCCATCTTGGCGTAATGCATTTATATCATTGATTCCAAAAGATAATCAAGATCTTACATTGCCTAAAAATTACAGGCCTATATCTCTTTTAAACGTGGATTATAAAATCTTTGCAAAAATTTTAGCTAATAGGTTTATGGGGATCTTGCAGCAGTTTATACATAAGGATCAATCGGGTTTTATAACTGGAAGGTATATGAAAAATAATGTTAGACAAATTATTAACTTATTAGAGTATCTAGAAAAGAATAACCAAGTCTCTGCAGGCCTGATATTTTTGGATGCTGAAAAAGCCTTTGACCAAGTGAATTGGCAGTTTATGTTATGTTTAATTAAGGAGATGAATTTTGGAAAAAATATATTACAAGTATTATCTAATATATATCAAAAACAGACTGCTCAACTTATTGTAAATGGGGGTTTGTCAGAGGCTTTTGTAATAGAAAAAGGAACAAGACAGGGATGCCCGTTATCTCCGTTATTGTTTGTTTTAACATTGGAAATTTTGTTGATTAAAATTCGGGAGTCTCAAGAAATAAAAGGACTAGAAATTAATAAAAAAGAATATAAATTAAGAGCCTTTGCAGATGACTTGGTTGTTACTCTGTCTCAACCTACCTGTTCGGTGGTAAAATTATTACAATTGATTCAACAATATGGATGTGTTTCTGGTTTTAAAATTAATAATAATAAGACCAAAATATTAGCTAAAATATGACTAATGGTGATAAACAGGTTTTAGTTAACTTAACAGATTTTGAAATTGTTGATAAGGTAAAATATTTGGGGGTCACATTATCTGCTTCTAATGCAAAACTGTATAAAAATAATTATGAAAAGCTGTGGATGGAGGTACAGAAGGATTTAAAAAATTGGAACAATCTACAGTTATCTCTTATGGGTAGAATTGCAGTTATCAAAATGAATGTCCTGCCAAAGTTTATTTTTTTTGTTTCAAATGTTACCTATTTTAAAGAATGAACGTAATTTAGATGAATGGCAAAAAGGTATTAATAAATTTGTTTGGGCAGGGAAAAAACCAAGGGTGAAACTTAAAATAATGCAAGATTTTCGTGAGAGAGGAGGACTCAAGGTACCAAATATGAACTTGTATTATGATGCTGTAGTATTAACATTGATCAGCGACTGGGTGAATTTAACAAATATAGAAATACTTCATTTGGAAGGTTGGGACTTACTTTTTGGATGGCATGCCTATTTAATATTTAATAAAAAAGTGGATTGGGTTTTCAAGTCTCATATTATAAGAATCTCT